AGGAGAACAGAACTTAACCGTAGCTGTATTCGTGTTGTTCTATCTTAAAGTTCCCGCGCGCGGTAGATGGTGACAGTACTCGACCCAGTCCATGCGCCGATTTTTAACCGTAGTCTGTAGTCCGTAGTCGGTTATCTTAAAGTCGCTAATGACATTTTGTTGGGACTGTTCGAGTGCTTGGAAACGGACTTGAAAATTGACCAAAACTTCTTTGTACTCGATCTCAGTAAGGCTGGGAGAGATTCAAGGAATTTCTTGCGTTTCGCGTAATAACTTTAAATTGCAAAATGGGGTGGCTTCCTAATACCAACTTTAATCTCTTGAGGTGTCCTAGCTCGCATACCGCTGTTTTATACTTATCTTGTAAATGACAGTTTTTGAGGGGTTTTTTGGTAAATAAAGCATTATTGGAGAGTTTGCGGTCACATGCGATTGAGAGTTACAATTGTTTTTAATCATTTAAATCTTATTCTCTCCTCATATGACCGGGATATATATAACATTAAGGGCTAGCTTCACATTCGAAATGCGTGCTTCAAAGGACATGCAGTTAAATTAAGAATTCTGGGTTTGCAGGCTCCAAAACTCATGTGGAGAGAGTGAATCTATATATCGAACTGAGAGTTACTGCATGGTTCAGAACTTTAAAACTTACAGTACCGCTCAGAATTAACCTAACAAAAACTGCGGTTTAACCTCGGTTGAATCTCGGTTTGACCGCGGTGTGACCGCGGTGATTTAAAGGTCTGACCGAGGTTATACCGCGGTAATTTTGAGGTTAAACTGCGGTCACCGTGAGGTTTAACCGAGGTTTGACCGCAACCTAACCGAACCGATCCGCAAGCTTCGTATATACTCGTAATAGCATTCGTAAATATTCGTGTATTTTCGAAGGGGTCATTATAAAAACTTCGTGTGTGCTTAATAAATATTGACATATTTTGTAAACATTGAGGCATGGGGAGGCTGTCATTTTATGCCAGGGAGCGAATTGTCTCCTTACTTTCGACAAATACTTCAGTTGTTGGAATAACTAAGAGTTTAAACGAAGGGTAAAGGCAAATATGTAGATCTCTTCTTGTTTATTACAGTTTAAATAGATGTTTTAGAATAAGTAAGAATTTGGTGCGTGCATCAACTTAAATTAACTTAACTCTTTAATACAATAAAGGCTAAAGGTTATAACGCGTGTACCTAAAAGGTAAATAAAATCTCGGCCTTTTAGGCACACACGCGTTATAACCTGGAGCCTTCATTATAAAACTTTATTATAATTGACAATCTAGCCTTTATTATAAAACTTTATTATAATCGACGATCTGTTGTAGCCCTTATTATATAATCATGGCTAGAAATGAAGGACAGTCAGCGCCACACATCGCGGGCGTCGAATTTAGGAAAATTATGCGCCCGCGACTCACCGCGCTGACCAAGGAATGATAAAATTGATCCGATTCACATGAGTGAATATATTTTGCATTTTATGCCTTTAGTTAGTCTTATTTTGAATATTGAGTATGTCTTTTTATCATTCGTTGCATAATTTGAGTACGGCCGACTTTTATGCACAAGGGACATCACGTAAAAGGAAGATTTCTACAGCAACGAGAGAATTATTCGAGGTTGAGAGGGTTGTTTCGAGGAAAGTTTGTCGTGGAAAGGTATGAACATTACTCGTTTGACTTTTAACTGGAGACAAGGCTGTCATTAAATAAACGTACCTTAATATATTTTGTAAACTTTGTCAATCATAAATCTGTACACACCTTTTCATATTTAAATATCCAGCAAATACCTGTGCAGGACACAATGCTTATACTTCTCTTCTATTGCTTTGTTTATGCCACTGCAGATGGAATAATATGTGAAATGGAAGGGCTACTTAAGTTTAGAAAACACATGGGAACCTGAAGAACATTTAAATGCCGCCGCAATAAGGTATTAATCCTATATATTCTTTATTAGCCAATAATTATTTACAATATATCAATATAATTTAAGCATAGGTATCTCATTGGTTATAATATGATTTCACACACTCAGTTCCTGTGTGCTGTCCTTTATTATCATGCTATATCTTACTGAATGCAGAGTTATACCTATCCTATGAAGGGAAACGTCTATAAACTATAATATTTTCATTCATTCAAATCCTCGATTTCATCTGAAAGGGATCTATAACTATAGTTGTACTATGATATTTTGCTGTGTTGGTGTAATGTACTCAGGTGAATAAGATGCTTGTGTGATGTTATTCTGAGCGTATCCACACCGGGCAGGCTTGAAAAATATCGCATACTCAAACCGACCTGACCGCGTAGCTCAACTAGTGGGCTAGTATTCCATAGGTTGTAGGTTCGATTCCCACCGTAGCCAGGCATATTTTTCAAGCCTGCCCAGTGTGGATACACTCAGAGTAACATCACACAAGCATATAGTTGTACTATTTTAATTGTATTTTTGATAGGTCATTTGCAAATCCATCAGCTGAATCAATACAGCAGGGAAAAGATGCTTTGGCCTGTGGATTGCTGGAGCAACTCAAATCAAGGAGTGTTCTTCCCACAGTCATTCCTTTTCGTCACGATGTTTTCGAGTACTTTTTTGGTGGGAAGGGTGAAAAAAGCAATGAGCGGGGGGCTATACTTTTAAACAAAGCTGACTTTGATGCATGCGATTTACCCAAGGATTGGGATAACGTAGTGGACCACATAGGAGATGGCCTGAGGATAGATTTTCCTGTGAAGATTCGCCCTTTCCTGTCATGGAGCCCGAAGACTCATGCTTTGGTTGGAGGAACAATTGTGCCATCTCCGAGATATCGTCCGGAGAAGATTAGTATTTCCATTTGTAAAACAGCATTTAGTTTATCATAAAATAGACTAAATAGTAATAATACCCCCCCATCTGGCGGCGGAAGTAATTAGTATGCAAACTTAGGTGTCGGAAGTAATTAGTATGCAAAATATGTGACGTAACTTTGCTGGCCCTTACCCTAACCTTGGGCCAACTGTGACAGGTAGCGCGACCAATTAACGCGGGCAGGCCTGGGCCAACTGTGACAGGTAGCGCGACCAATTAACGCGGGCAGAGATATTGATATCCTAAGATACTGATATCCTAAGGTACTGATATCCTAAGATACTGGATGATATCCTAAGATATTGATATCCTAAGATATTGATATCCTAAGATACTGATATCCTAAGATACTGATATCCTAAGATATTCAATTCAATTCAAAAAATTCAATTGATATCCTAAGATACTGATATCCTAAGATATTGATATCCTAAGATATTGATATCATAAGATACTGATATCCTAAGATACTGATATCCTAAGATACTGATATCCTCCGGTTCGAACCCGGTACGGTAGAAAAAATTTTGCCTTACAACCACGTAGCAACGTTGTGAGTCTCTCTCTCTTATTTTCAACACGCAATTGAAATTCGTTTTAATTTTGATGGCTCGTTTTGAGCAATAAGTTTCCAAACAGAAATAAAAAATATCGCAACAGAAATAAGCAGTTGCTAATCCCGGGTTGTCAAAGCCGTTGTTATGATCGCTATTTGCATGTTGTTCAACATTATTTAGCAAACCTACATACATATATACGGTCAAGATGACCGAGTCAGATAGAATACTTGAAGGAAAAAAAACCTGTAGAACAATTTAACAGTCTTAGTTGTAATATTTTTTCTCTATTATTTGTATCAAGAAACATGTTTTAAACTTTGCTGCGTTGTTATGCGTTGCTAACTCATTAGGAGGCGTGTAGGTAATTAAGGGGATTAAGGTAATACGAATTTGCATAACTAAGTGTATCCCGATGGATAGATAGGGATTATTTTTAACGCCGGTGTATACCTTAAAATCACGCGCGTGGCTTTGTGGGTGCATGCATATATTAAAGTACAACATATTTGTACACGGATCTTTTCGCGCGGGCGGAAAGAGCGGGCTTTGCGGGCAAAAATTTGCACAATATTTTAGTTTTTAAATTTATTTCTTCAAAATGTTTTACAAAAATTAGTAAGGTCTACTTCTAAGAGCATAACGTCTAGGTGTTTTTGTTATTTTTAAAGAGTTCTCATATTCTTGTTTATCTTCTGGGGATAACTTTGCAAGTTTTTCCGGCTTCATTGGAATATATTTTGGTCGGTCGCTCAATATAAAACGTTCATAATCCTCTCTTGCTTCCGGAGTCATTCGCGCTAGGTCACGTTCGGTCCAATCTGCTGGGTCGACCCAATTGTGAAAAAAATTGCGCTTGAGTTTTGGCCGTTCCTCTTCTGTTGGTGGTGGTGTAAGGAAATTAGGTTTAGGGGTAGCAGGCACTGGTGGTGCTATCTCAACTAATTCATTGGGTTGTGGTATTTCTGCAGGCACTAGTGGAGTTGTCTGAACAGGAGCTTGAGTCGGAACATCCATCTTATTTTTGAATGTGAGAAACCGATTTAGTTGATCAGAGTATAATTTGCTTTTTTCCACTGCGCTTAGCTGTGGTGCATCCATGATTTCTTTCATTCGCTGCTCGGCATCATACATGGCATTTACAAGTGGTGGTTGACGATACGACTGTTTTTGTATAAACTTTGCAATCTCGCCGGGAAGTACGTTTGTCTTGAGTCGTTGTTGATCATCTGTTGTTGGCTTTAAATCCAACATCAAATACCCGTGAGGTAGGCTCGTAGCATCTTCATAACTCCTCATAAATTCTTGTACTCTTCCAGGATCTACTTGCCTTGCAAGCATAGAAATTTGCTGTTTATCTCTTGGTGACTTGAACAGCACAATATAATGGGCGTTTAGACTGATATTTCTCATTTCTTTGCCTTGATGGAATATATTTTGAACAATATAGATGATAGATAAATTCCGATGATGACTTCCTTTCGTAAATAGATCAGAAATACGTTTATCTTTGCCAGATTGAGCCATAAGGTCGTCCAATACGACCAAATTCCGTTGCGATACGTCCAAGTAATCTGCGTTGTCGATGTCTTCGGGGATGCCTTTATTAAACTCGATTCCAGTCATCGTTCTCATCATATCAAAATAGGAGGGTTGCCATTGACCATAACACCAAATGATACGTTGAGGAGCAGGACTTATAGTTTTCTGTGCATTCTCCAAGAGAGATTTTACCCACACAGTCTTGCCGCTTTGGGTACACCCAGCTACGATACATGTGAAAGGATGCTGCAAAACTGTAGATCTTGCTGAGATTTCAACTGGTTTGCTTTGAACATCTCCATGGGCATTCAAAGTATGACGCTTGAGGTTGCCGCGTGTTGAAAATACTTTGGCACATATATTGCACGGAAAGGACATGTTCACACCACGAACGTCTAGCTGGAAGTGATAATAAGTTGGCGTATTCGTTCTATATATTCATTAATGCATCTATCCAGTATTATTCTGTATCTTTATCTTCCTTATCTTTATCCTTATCTTTATCTTTATATTCTTTATCTTTATCTTCTTTATCTTTATCCTTATCTTTATCCTTATCTTTATCTTCCTTATCTTTATCTTTTTTATCCTTATCTTTATCTTTATCTTCCTTATCTTTATCTTCTTTATCTTTATTCTTATCATTATCTTCTTTATCCTTATTTTTATCTTTATCCTCTTATCTTTATCTTCCTTATCTTTATCTTAATCTTTATCCTTATCTTTATCTTCCTTATCTTTATCCTTATCTTAATCTTTATGTTCCTTATCCTTATCTTTATCCTTATCCTAATCTTTATGTTCCTTATCCTTATCTTTATGTTTATCTTCCTTATCTTTATCCTTATCTTCTTATCTTTATCCTTATCTTCTTATCTTTATCCTTATCCTTATCTTTATCCTTATCTTTATCTTCTTATCTTTATCTTCTTATCTTCCTTATCCTTATCTCCCTTATATTTATCCTCTTATCTTTATCCTTATCTTCCTTATATTTATCTTCTTTATCCTTATCTTTATATTCCTTATATTTATCTTCCTTATCTTTATCTTATCTTTATCCTTATCTTTATCCTTATCTTTATCCTTATCTTTATCCTTATCTTTATCCTTATCTTTATCCTTATCTTATCTTATCTTCTTATCTTTATCTTCCTTATCTTTATCTTTATCTTTTAATCTTTATCCTTATCTTTATCCATATCTTTATCCTTATCTTTATCTTCCTTATCTTTATCCTTATCTTAATCTTTATGTTCCTTATCCTTATCTTTATCTTCCTTATCTTTATCTTCCTTATCTTTATCCTGATCTTCTTATCTTTATCCTTATCTTTATCTTCTTATCTTTATCCTTATCTTTATCTTCTTTATCGTTATCCTTATCTTTATCTTCTCATCTTTATCTTCTTATCTTCCTTATCCTTATCTTCCTTATATTTATCCTCTTATCTTCCTTATCTGACATGCACAAGAAGCCAAGTTCGATAAGCTCAGAGTCAAGCTCTCAATAACTCGGAGCCTTGTCTAAATTGCTTTCTCTCTTCCGATATAAGCTTCTCAAATTCATTAATAATTCATGAGTAATTCAGCCAATGATAATCACCTATTTGATCACAAGATGCCATTTGGATAACCCGGTGAAACTTGATGAAAGTCACTAGTGTTTTCATCAAATATCTTAATTACACATGCAAAATTACTTGAATAGAATTCCTAATTACTTTATGCTTGGTTAAGAATTCTATTCAAATCAGCAAACGAAAACATTCTGTTACGTCTCGATTCATTTGAGAAGCCATATAAACAACTCGAGCTCGTGTCTCACCGGGATATCCAAACACTCGAAAACAATGTATGAAAACACTCGCGCTTCGCGCTCGTGTTCTCATACATTGTTTTCTCGTGTTTGGATATCCCGGTGAAACACTCACTCTCGTTGTTCATATATTACTTCCTTATTGTTGTGTTTTACTCATTTGCTTCCAAACCGTCGAACAGAAATGATCAATCTTCTAAGGCACAAGCCATATCTTGAATTGTTGGGCACGTCCGAGCCTGATCAACAACAAGCACTACTGGAAACAGCAAGCGCCGAACAAGTACACTGCCTGTGTCTCTGTGCAGAAAACGTTATGAAAAGAAAATATTTAATGCCGAAGCATGTGATGAAGAAACTCCGACCTTACAAAAATGAAATGCTTAGGTTAGCAGATAGAGGAAAATGTGGAAGAAGAAAAAAACGGATACTCGTTCAACGTGGTGAAGGTTTCCTTGGACTATTACTAAGTCCTATTTTGGAAAGCCTGGCTGAACTTGTATAAAAGCCCTGTGACTACAATTTATACATCATTTCAACAATGAACATCGAGAGTAAAACATCTCCGCGACATTGGCGCATTGAAGATATACTTTTGTATCTCAACAATAATGTCAAAAAAGCTACAGCAGAAAAAATTCTACATTCTATTCTTATATCAAGCGATATATTAACTTGGAATCCTCAGGGGGAGATTGTTTATCATGGCAGAGACATTGCTGGTACTAACATCGAGAACCTTTTACAATACGCACTTTTACCATACAGCTCTCACATTCCTGAACCACGAGGGCTGGACCTGTTTACAAAAGGTTTAGTAGAAGCAGGGGTTAATAAAGATTTAATCAAAAATGAGCATTTATTGTCAAAAATGGCAAAGGAGGAACATGAAATGCCACAATCTGAGAGTGATGTTGAAAGCGAATCTGGTGAAGAGAACAGGGAATCTGACAAGAGTGATAATGAAAGCGAATATGATGATAATGAGGATGATGATGGTGATGATAATGATGATGAGTCCGAGAAACTAGCTTGTAACCATTGTGGTGAAGAGACTGGTCACATTGTATACTTAATGAAGTGCCCAAGATGTTCGTGGAAAGATTTCTACTGGGGCAAAGACGCTCAATGTATGATATGTGATGAACAGTCACCTCTACTGTTTTCACATGTCATTGGTTTCTGCGAGCTATGTTCGTATGGTACGTCTAACACCAAGACGGGTGGAATGGAGTTCACACCAAAAATGGACATTGTGGTGTGAACTGGTGAAGAGACTGGTCACATTGTATACTTAATGAAGTGCCCAAGATGTTCGTGGAAAGATTTCTACTGGGGCAAAGACGCTCAATGTATGATATGTGATGAACAGTCACCTCTACTGTTTTCACATGTCATTGGTTTCTGCGAGCTATGTTCGTATGGTACGTCTAACACCAAGACGGGTGGAATGGAGTTCACACCAAAAATGGACAAATAAAATATCCAGCAGATTGGACCGAACGTGACCTAGCGCGAATGACTCCGGAAGCAAGAGAGGATTATGAACGTTTTATATTGAGCGACCGACCAAAATATATTTCAATGAAGCCGGAAAAACTTGCAAAGTTATCCCCAGAAGATAGACAAGAATATGAGAACTCTTTAAAAATAACAAAAACACCTAGACGTTACGCTCTTAGAAGTAGACCTTACTAAATTTTGTAAAACATTTTGAAGAAATAAATTTAAAAACTAAAATATTGTGCAAATGTTTGCCCGCAAAGGCCGCTCTTTCCGCCCGCGCGAAAAGATCCGTGTACAAATATGTTGTACTTTAATATATGCATGCACCCACAAAGCCACGCGCGTGATTTTAAGGTATACACCGGCGTTAAAAATAATCCCTATCTATCCATCGGGATACACTTAGTTATGCAAATTCGTATTACCTTAATCCCCTTAATTACCTACACGCCTCCTAATGAGTTAGCAACGCATAACAACGCAGCAAAGTTTAAAACATGTTTCTTGATACAAATAATAGAGAAAAAATATTACAACTAAGACTGTTAAATTGTTCTACAGGTTTTTTTTCCTTCAAGTATTCTATCTGACTCGGTCATCTTGACCGTATATATGTATGTAGGTTTGCTAAATAATGTTGAACAACATGCAAATAGCGATCATAACAACGGCTTTGACAACCCGGGATTAGCAACTGCTTATTTCTGTTGCGATATTTTTTATTTCTGTTTGGAAACTTATTGCTCAAAACGAGCCATCAAAATTAAAACGAATTTCAATTGCGTGTTGAAAATAAGAGAGAGAGACTCACAACGTTGCTACGTGGTTGTAAGGCAAAAATTTTTCTACCGTACCGGGTTCGAACCGGAGGATATCAGTATCTTAGGATATCAGTATCTTAGGATATCAGTATCTTATGATATCAATATCTTAGGATATCAATATCTTAGGATATCAGTATCTTAGGATATGAATTGAATTTTTGAATTGAATTGAATATCTTAGGATATCAGTATCTTAGGATATCAGTATCTTAGGATATCAATATCTTAGGATATCAATATCTTAGGATATCATCCAGTATCTTAGGATATCAGTACCTTAGGATATCAGTATCTTAGGATATCAATATCTCTGCCCGCGTTAATTGGTCGCGCTACCTGTCACAGTTGGCCCAGGCCTGTCCGCGTTAATTGGTCGCGCTACCTGTCACAGTTGGCCCAAGGTTAGGGTTAGGGCCAGCAAAGTTACGTCACATATTTTGCATACTAATTACTTCCGACACCTAAGTTTGCATACTAATTACTTCCGCCGCCAGATGGGGGGGTATTACTACTCTAAATGCTGTTTTTCTGCTGAGAAGAGTAGGTTATCCAACTAGAAGTTAGTGACTTCCTGACTAAAGGCGCTTACTCGAAACGTCGAAGAAATTAATATATTCTTATTTTTCAGGAGTTAGATAACCTATTCTTCTCGGCTACTATTCACATTGCTACCTACACTGGCACCCGCCTCGCAAGATTATATTAATAGAAATCCTGCCTTTGTGTTCCCTGACAGTACAAAAATTTGATTTGATGTATTACATATATTATTTAATTTAACCCATTTCTGACCAGTCTGAAAGGACTTTTTTATAATTTTTGAGAAACAGCATGGGGGAGGTTGTTACCAACTGAGGCCTTGGTCTGAATGGGTTAAGTTTATAATATTTATGTATAATATTGAACAGTTGGTGCCAGTGAAGGTAGCGAAAATAGCCCTTCGTCAGGACTCTGACTGCTTGAAACATCAAAGTTCTGCTAATATTATGTATTATTGTTACTTTGTCCTGTCTGTGAACATGAACATGGATATAGTATTTAGGATGACTTTCTTCGTTTGTTTCGAATTTCAGTTTCCCAGTAATGTGCATCTTTCTTGCTGTATGACCTCTTCACGCGTTCACTGTCACGTAGTTCCCACTGCCTGCATTCCAATTCGAGAACATCTGATGTAGGATTCTTATTATTGGATTTTAACAGAACCACTTTTCTTGCCACATCATTATTTTTTTCAACCCCCTGTCCGGTGAAGATTTTGACTGATCGATACAACTGCATAAATCTGGATACATGGTAGACAAGTGAATGCATGTAAGGGGTCACTGATGCTCTGCTATATCCCTTGTGAATTGATGATGTTCTCAAAGATGTAAATAGATTTATCCAATTTTTTGCCTTTTGAAAAAAACTATCACAAATCTCAGGGGTAGTTGTGCTATTACTTGTCATTATTTTGTAGAGTTCATGAAAATCCTTCCAGATGTTAATAACTACATCACATGTTTCCGGCATGAGACACTCCGTCAACTTATGGGGAAGCTCAGCTAAAAGTTTCTTCTTATCTGGGCCAAGAAGACTAGTAAAGTCATATTGTCCAGATCCGTTCCCATCTTCATTTCTTTTCTCCCAAATGTCGAAACTGACACCGCAAGACCTGATTGTTGATTGTAATTTTTCTAATCTTGTATTTTTTTTTCACACTTTTTTTTGTTAAAATTTTCTTTTTTGTCCCAGGAAATCATTTCCTGAATTATGTTGTTCAATAAGACATCCATTACTCTAAGTAACAAATGAAGCTCATCCAAAACAACATGGTCTAAATCAATCTTAATTAGCGGCTCATGCACACAAGAGTACTTGCCTTGAGTTCCCTCTTTATTTGCCATGTCAATTATTTCTTGCAGCGTGCGCCTGAGTGGAGGAGAGTTATAACAATTTAAATCTTTGTCCATTAGCCACCGGTTTTCCTTTTTTACCTTGCACCATACACAAGCAAAATTTGAAGTTGCTGATTTCATTCCCAACATTATCAAAAGGAATTTGTAATCCCCTCCAAGGAAGAATTCAAGATCAAATTTTGAATTATTAATTGTTATTTCACTCACTTCAATTAAATCATTTATCTCCTGGAAAACTGCTCCAAACGAGTCATTGAGAGTTTCATAACTTTCCGATCCCTTGACAACTGCAAATGTATGATTTCCACTTGCCGACATTACACTATTTTGGCCTTGAAGTAATGAAAAGGAAAGCAAGATGAAACTTGACTTCCTTGTCATTTTTGCCCCATCACCAGAAATTTTTATCTGTATTTTCTCTTTACTCCAATCCATTAGGTCATTTTCATTCACAACATCTTGAATTCGTGATTTCAACAAATCCGTAAAAGATAACTGGGCACCATCTGCTTCACCGGGGGTTGGGATCACCTCACTGATATCATTCAGCTGCCCTCTCCTCTGTTTAACCAGGTAAGATTTGGGAAGACCATCAACAATCATAGTCAGTTCATGGTAGAATGAATCACCAACACAAAATTTATCCAGGAGAAACAAAACTTGTTCAATTTTTTCTTTGTCATAATCAGTCAAACTGTCAAAACCTTTGCTGCCATCAGTTGAATTACTGGTATTGTCGTCAACATAAAGATTATGGAATATTCCTGTCTGTTGTTCCATAGCTTTGATTTCTTTCAATTCTAGGCCAAATGATTTCATGAACCAGAGTGCAATTTTAGCACGTGACATAAATGTATTAAGTGTTCTTGACTTTTTTGCAACATTGGCCACATCCTTGCCCTTATTTTGAAAAGTTTGTTTATTTTCAAGACAATTAATGTAATCAAGAAGTTCCTTGTTTACATTGTGAAGATTTCTGATCTCTTCATCTTTATCGTTAAGCGCAGTAACCATCTCTGTATACAACTTCTCTTTTTCTTCTTTGAGATTTTGGTAACTTTGCCGCCATTTCTCAAGCTGATCAGAGGCCGCCTCATTTTCTTTTTGCAGATCCTTGACTGAAATTACCATTCCCTCAAATACATGAAATCTTTTAGAACTAGCATCTAATTCCATTCTTTTCCTCCCTCCCTTTGCACTGTTGTATGCCGATTTCGCCTTTCCAACAATCTTTCGGAGGGATTCATTGACTTCATGTCTGATACATTTATCATTTGTGATGGCAAAGACATTTCCAGGTATAGAAAATTCAAAGAGATCAGCATAATCAAATTGTGGTGGATCCTTATTTGGGCAACAATCCTCAGCTGTATCATCTTCAGTCGTCTGCTTTCTTGAACTCTGGATAACCATATATTCTTGCCATAATTTCAGTAGTGGATATGGAATATCTACTGCGAATATTGGCTGCCTGGAAGTGGCTTTTGCTGCATATGCTAATGATGGTCTTTCAATGCCTAATTTCCATTCCAACATTGATTTTACAAGAGGAATATCAGACATTTTAAAAACTTAGAACAGACGATAAATTAAAATCAATAACCCGCACAACTTATTCTTGATCGATGTAGTGTTTGTAAACTATTTTATAAAGTTACCGACTCAAAATATTGTAAATATTTCCAATTTTCGCGCAATATTTTCAATTTTCGCGCTATTTTGAGCCATCGTGTACCTCCTTTTATCGGCCAGCGGCCATTAACATTAATGTTTACAAAATGGCGTGAAAGAATACAGTTGTACGATCGAAATTTTGGAGAATTTCGCAGCTGTTCATCACTACAAGCTCTTCGGTTGTGAGAATTTAAGCTTGCAGTTTGTTAAAAAAAGAGACGATTTTAAAACCATTTGGCCGTACGAGTACAAGCTAAGATGGTTCTAAACCAACGCAAAATGACAGTTTGAACATCGTATAGGAAATGTAGACGTGGGCATTTTGTCTGACTTTTTCTCGAACGACACTATACCGGGCTGAACATAGCAACCAAAGGGGATTTCACCGTTTTAAATGGAGTTTACATTACCAGAAAATATCGGCAAATGGAGTTACTCGGGCCGGATAACAGCACATCGTGAGACGTCAAGAGTTTGCAAGACAACATTATTGAGGTATTTTATAGATTTGTAGACTTGGGCAACTTGAAAATTTCACACTCTTTCTGTATGCGCATCGATTTTATATTTTTATACTATTAAAGCTCTATATTTCCGCCATCTTGAATTCCTAAAATTTGTTAGCTCTGCGCATATTCTGACAAAGCCAACCGCTATACTGTCCTTCATTTCTAGCCATGTCTTCAGGTTTTTCGGTTGACGTCTGCTTACTATAAGGGATGTTTTCTCTAATATTGGTTTCATTTTGAGTGATTTGTTCAGGAACTGTAAATCATTCTTTATTTTTTGGACGATCTGTGGGTTTCGGGGGTATATGTTATCACCAGTGGCAAGATATTCGAGTTTTCATTGGAACGGGTTTTGTTTTGACGACGTTCTGTAGTTGTAAATGACTTCGCTTGATTAATACTATGTTTGGTTAGTTTCAATGGGTAGTTCTGCGCCGTGAGAAAATTTTCAAGTTCTTCCAGTCTTTTGTCCCGTATATTTCAGATTTCGATACAATGGTAGCTACAGATCCTTCTAGCCAGCGAATACGGGATGTTGCGTTTAATATGATTTGGATGGCAGGAATTAAATTTTAGATATTGGTGCGTGTCCGTCGATTTATAAAATATATCTGTGTGTAGCTTTTTATCCTCTTTGTAAACTAGTACATCCAGAAATGGAAGTTCTTTTTCGTCTTTTTCCGTGGTAAATTTAATTTTATCGTGGAGGTTATTCAATAATCCGTGAAAAATAGGTAGTTCTTCTATTGGTCGCTTCCAAAGTAAGAAACAATCGTCTAAAATCGTTTAAAAGTCCTTATCAGTTCTTCCAAATCTTCGTTTCCAAACGTTTCCCCATATTTTTCGTATAATTGGGTTTCCAGGTATCCCATGACTAATGTAGCGTAGGTCGGCGCCATTTTTGTTCCCATTGCCTTCCCTTGTAGCTGTTGGTAATGTTTGTCGTCAAATTAAATGTATTTTCTTTTCAAATAATTGAGATGGATTCCAATATAAAGCCTTTTGAGAATTTCCGTGGTAAACTGTTCATGTAGTTGTCTAACCAGTATTCGATGGCAGTTAGTCCAAGGTCGTGCGGAATACTAGTATAAAGGCTTACAACATCAAATCAAACGAGTAATGTGTCTTCTTGGATTTCTTCTGGCAAGTGATTCAGAAAATCAATGTCATCTCTGATGAAACTGGGCACATGTTGGCAAAGTGGTTTGAGAATTATATCCAAAAAGTTGCTTAGGTGGTGCGTTAGGGATTGAGGTCCAGCTACAATTTGTCGGAATTTCAAATTGTCTGGTGCAGGAAGTTTAACGTTTCTCTTTTCTGTTCCGTTATTGCTCTAGTAATCAGTTCACATTTATGGATCTTCGGAAGTCCGTAGAAATTGGAGGTCTTTGATGTAAATTTGTTTATATATTCCTTTTCAGTTTTTGTTGTTTCCTGTTGAAATTTTTCCAAATGTTTTTTGATTTTCTTCATGACCGTCTCATCCTGATTACCGTTTTCTACTAGCGCATAATTTTCAGTGTCGGATAATAGTTCATCTATTTTATCTTTATAGTATTTTTTATCCATTATTACTTTTGCGTCACCTTTATCTGCTTCTTTTATAATAATGTTGTTATCGTTTATAAGTTTTTCAAGTGCCGTTCTTTCACCTTTACTTAATTTTTTTTTGTGGTTTGTTGTTGTTGGTGTATTTTCAGGATAGTCGGATAGTGCATTAAGGAACGTGTCCAGATATTTATCTTGTGGTTTTGGGGGTACAAAATTTGACTTGTTTTTCACAATAGAGTTGTCCGACATTTTTTGCTGGTTATCATTGTAATACTCCATCAAACGTAATTTACGTGCGGCCGCTGCAGTATGTCTTGGTCGAAACTTAGGTCCTGTTAATATTGGCAAAAGTTATCCCGGTTAACGAGAGAACTTTTCGACTAGCCAAATACTTTTGTTCTGTTCATATGGAGAAATATTATCCCACTTACCTGGAAAAGTTTCCGGCTGTGACGTAGCACAGAACATCAATTGAATTGAAAACACGACAAAAAGTTATCCCGCTAAAAAAAAGCTGACACGACAAAAAGTTATCCCGCTAAGCGGGAAAGTTGTGTTCATATGGGGAAAACATTATCCCGGTCACCGTGATCTCGCCTGTCAACAAGCGAGATCTTGGTACACGGGAAAACTTTTCGTCTCATATGAACGCAATGTAACTTTTCATATTATTTTCGTAACAAGGCGAGATGTCGCTCGTAAACTTGTCGAAAAGTTTTCTCGCTAACCGGGATAACTCCTGCCCATATCAACAGACCCTTAGGAGCTTGGGCTCTCAACGCTGGTTTTGGTTTCTCACAATTGCACGACAGTTCTAATGGATACAACTACTGTGCGGCTCTCTCAGGAATACCCTTTCCCGCTCGTAACTTCGCTCCTATGACAATCCCGTCTTTGCCTGTTAGAAGTTGCCATTTCCCTCGATTCCGCTCATCATTCTTAATAATCACAACGTCACCAACTTTCGGTGTAACCAACTTCGTTCCTTGTTTTAGGTTGTATCTCACGTAGTGCTCTTAGGTATTCCTTGGTCCAACGACGGCAAACTGCATCCTTGCGTTTTTGCAAATATTTCGCTTGTTTCCTTAGATCTGTATCTTCAATGTTGTGGGCTCTAGTTGTGGGATAGTATTAGATTGTCCAAACAACATCGATTTGGGTGTTAATGTAGGTTGTTGAACGTCATCTTCGACGTAATCAAGGGACCGGTTGTTGAGGGCTACCTCGACATCTAGGATGACATCTTCTAGTTCTTTCCAAGATAAGTTTCCGCCGCCGATGACGTTGTACATAGCTGATATGACCAGTCCCACTAGTCGCTCAAACTGGCCTCCCCACCATGGGGCGCGACTAAGGTTAAACCGCCATTCGATCTCTTGCCTTGGCAGGTAGCCGTTTATTTTTTCGCCATTCATAACTTGTCTGACCCAGGATGCTGCTCCCACAAATGTACTACCGTTATCAGAATACACGAGTTTTGGTCGTCCCCTTCTTGCAACAAATGTGTTAAGCTTTTAAGAACTCGCCCGTCTCTAAACGAACTCGTAACTTTTTAAGAACTCGTCCGTTTCTTCGTTTTAAGAACTCGTCCGTCTCTTCGTTTATCAAGAAGAGAAATTCCATAAGAATGAGAATAAAAAGATCCTGTTCACCAACTCAACACCTTAAAGAAAGTTTTCGAAGTATACGTAAAAAGATCAAGCAAATGTTACGTGAAAGTCAACTAGAGTACATCAACTCAATTTGTTCGTTCGTGGATTAAATCCCAAACGTTTTTGGACATTTTTTAATACAAAAACTAAAGTATCGAATATTCCAGAAAAAGTTTACATGAAAGTGAGCAACACTGAAAGAACTTCTGCCAATAACGCCGTAGAACTTGAAAATATATTCAACACATATTCCGCCTCTATCTTTACGCATAACTCCGATATTGATCACGAACGACAACAAGAACATACGGAAACTGACATTATATTGGAAGACATAACATTAGAGAAATTTGGATAACAACAAAGCTCACGGCCCCGATGGAGTTCCTGCGCGACTACTGACAGAAACTGCGTTCCAGAACGCTCCTTCACTTTGCGCACTCTTCAACAAATCATTACGCTGTGGCATTCTTCCTGATGATTGGAAATTAGCTAATGTCGTACCTGTGCATAAGCGAGGTGAGAAATCCTACGTAGAGAACTATCGACCAATCTCATTGCTTTCACTTATCTTTAAAGTACTCGAACGTTGCGTCTTTAATAACATCAAACATCAAGTATTCCAACAAATCAACGTTTGTCAACACGGATAGGAAAATCGTGCGTTACGCAACTTATTGAAGTATTTGAACAGATAGGGTGCAAATTGGACAATGGCGAACAAATAGACGTGATTTATTTAAATATGTCGAAGGCATTCGATAAAAGAAGCCATACTAAGCTTCTTCATCGACTACGCTAATTTGGGTTTCGGGGAAACATCCTGAACTGGTTCTCATCGTATCTCAGTAATCGTCGTCAGCAAACAACGGTTCATGGAGCAACATCAAGACCTTTAGCCGTGACATCTGGAGTGCCGCAAGGTTCGATACTTGGCCCATTGTTGTACCTATTGTACGAAAACCACCTCCACAACACCGTGAATAATTCAACTATCGCCACCTTTGCAGATGATACGAAGATCTTCAGAACCATAAGCTCCATATCCGATGCATCCTCGCTACAGGAAGACCTTACCAACTTTGAAGTGTGCTCCAGCAATGTCAACTTAACGCTGAAAAGTGCAAAATTCTAAGAATTACCCGAAAGTAGAAGATAGAATACCCGTACAAGCCTTCATAACAATGTCTTAGGAAGCACCGAGTTTGAACGTGATTTGGGAGTGTGGATTACATCTAACCTTACCTGGTCAAAACATGTTGAATGTCAATGCACACAAGAAAAGTAAGATGTTAGGATATATAAGAAGAGCAACACTTGACATAAAAACTATCTCCGTTCGTTGCACCCTATATTTGTCCCTTGTCCGTTCCCAACTAGCTATCCTATGGCTCTCAAGTCTGGGCTACCCAATCAATTGACCATTTGCGTAATAGACTAAATTTTGATCTCAACAAAAATTTCATCACAGCTTGAAAGAGCATCACAAAATTAGTAATATTCCAAAGTTTCGTTGCGAAATGTTGTAAAATTTTGTGATGCTCTTTCAAGCTGTGATGAAATTTTTGTCTAGACTTGTTTTGATCAAAATTTAGTCTATTACGCAAATGGTCAATTAACTTGATCAAGCGTACGGAAAGACCACGAAGGCGAGCAAGCAAGGTTATAAGCACAACTAAAAAACCCCAAAACATGCATAAAAGCAAAAGGTTAACGCGAGGCAACGGAAATGGTGGTGGAAGTCATATCAACCCCACCAATATCCTTTTAAACTACTCCTTTGTCATAGAAACGACAAATGTGTTCCTAAAACGATTTGTTCGTGTGGTCGGACAGTCAAAAGGTCGCTGTCCTCTCAGATTATATGCTGAGATATTCTTGGGATACCACAAGATGGTGAAGTTTGTGCTCGGTATCAGATATAACTGACTGAAATAGTTTCTTACACAGTTTCAGTCTTCTGTCTCTCAAGGAACTGATATTCAATTTCCTAAGATTGTCCGTATATGATAACCCCGGAGATATTATGGACAGCGCATGCTTTTGAATGCGCTCAAGGTCATCACATAAGTATACAGGGAGAGCATGATGGAAAACAGGAGCACAATACTCGAGAACCGGTCTAATAACAGTGCAGTAGAAATTGACAATATCACAAGCAGGAACGTCAGCACGCTGGAGCAAGATCAAGAAATAGAAACGTTTATTCGCTTTCTTGATTACTTCGTTAACATGGTCAACCCATTGGAGTGAACTGGATATGATAACTCCTAACACCTTGGCACTGCTCTGTTCGAGTTCTTTGGAGGTGATTGTGATTGCGTCAAACTTTTGTTTTTGTCTCTTAAAGTCGATGACCATTTACACTTGTCAGCATTCAGTTGGAGCGTGTTGAAATTAGACCACCTCTCGACATCAGAAACGGCGTTCTGAATAAAGGTTTCGCCATTCCGTGGAACAACTTCAGCTAACGCGGTGTCATCTACATACTTCCAAGCATGCGCTTCAGATGGATTGAGGTCATTGATCATTAACAAGCACAACCAGGGTCCTAGCTTAGTTCCCTGATGGACACAAGATGGAACAGCACCCCATTCAGAGAAACAATCATTTGACAACTTTACACGTTGGAATCTGTTTGATAGGAAATCACACACCCAGCGAGCTACACCACATGGTATTCGAAGGGAAAGGACTTTGTCAACTAGAATGCGGTGGTCGATCAGATCAAATTAGGCTTTTTTATAGTCTAGCAATATGATCATCACTGCTGCACCTGTTCCATCAGTGGCAGAAGTGCACACATACATCATGCATATAAGAGCCTGAGTAGTAGACGACTTAAGGATGGCACCAAAGTGATTGGAATCGATGATTTCAAGAACAGCAGGTCCAACATAATTCTTAACGATAAAGTCCTCAGCTAACTTCGATAGAACTGATGTTAGCGAGATGGGTCTTATATGATTGGCAATTATTGAAACCGGTTTCGTCTTAGACAGTGGTGTGATATTGGCATATTTCCATGATGCTGGAAGCGCTTGTTCCTCAAATGAACTATTTAAGATGTTACAAACTGGGTTTGCAAGAAATTCTGCATATTCTGTAAGTAGTCAGTTAGGAATCTCGTCCGGATCACACTCTTTGCGGGGGTTTAACGTTAGTAATCTCGAATACACAGAATAAACATCAAGCTTTAATACCTCGGATTTTTCGTCGAATGGAGGAAGACAGGCAAGTAGTTGGTATGCTTGCATGGGTTCGAGGAGAGAGGTGGTAATAAGATCTGCAATATACTTATTTGACTTTCCATCAATGCCGTCAATGTGATGCTGCGAGCGAATATCAACATTCGACGTTGCAGGGACCATCCCCGAAATATTTTTAACCTCGTGACCCAGGGAGCGTCGTTGACGTGAAGTTTAACAGACTTTAGTGGCATGAGAATATCGACACCATTTTTAACCAGATCTTCAAAGAGTAGTAACTAGTTTTCACATCCAATGATGGAATCAACAATCGACCAGTCAATCGAGCTAAGATACCTCCCAAGTTCCAGTCTTCGGCTCAATCGAGTATCCCTCCGAGTCACGAAACGACTGGTGCAACTTCGTACGGTTCTTGATTTAGGCTGTAACAATAACACTGAGTGGTCCGACAACCCGAAAGGTGGAAAGCTTTGAACCGAGTTCTTCTCATACAGTTGAGGCATGTTCGTAATAATGAGGTCGAGAATCCGCTCACCTCTTGTTGGACCATGGACGAGTTGTTTTAGCTTGAATTGCCTAAGGAGACGACTTAAGTCAAACGATTAAAGTCACTAGTAAGCAATATGCCACAACCAGGGTAACGTCCTTCGATAGTTATCAGCGATGAAGCGAGGTAATCCAACATCGCATTGTCACTGGCACCTAGAGGATAGTGGGTGTGATACACAGTTCCAAATACTATACAAGGGATACCTCTGGGAAGTCGCGCGGGTTTGACGTATGTCCATAGCACCTCAAGCTCAGGGTGGTAGATGTCAGTCAGTGCCTTAAACCGGATGGAACGTATAGTCCAACACCTCCATGCACATCAGAGCTACGGTTCTTTAATAATAAATTAAAACCAGGAATGATGAAAACAGAAATGATTGAAACCGGGAATGATTAAAACGCTTCAATTTATGTTTGGAAGAAACATTTTGCATTTTGAAAGACATAAACACAGACAATTTACTCAATAAAAGAAGCGAAATTTTCGGCAAGTGTCGTCACAAAAATCGGTTTCGAGTAAACAAGGTCGTTAACAAAATTTTATGACCCAAGCATTGTTTCGCCAAAGCACTGTTTCGCCTAAGCATTAATTGTCTCGCCTAAGCATTGTTTCGCCTACACGCATTCCGCGCATTCTTTCGAGAGCATAAAAGCAACCTATAATTTCGAAATTACTCACCACCTGTTGGTTCCTATACGGATGAAACAGACTGTTGTGGGTTTTTTTGAGGTAAAACGAAAAACTATATTACGCTCTATATGGTATTGAGCACTGTTTGTGTTTCGTAAACCAAAAACTTAATTATATATATATATATATATATATATATATATATATATATATATATATATATATATATATATATATATATATATATATATATATATATATATATCCCACTCCTGTCTCGAAAACAATGTTTGAGCTCGAAGAAGAACAAGAATCCTATGTTCTTGCACAACTCCAGACTTTGAAAACCAACAAAGCTATCGGTTTGGACAAAATAAGCGCAAGACTCTTAAAATGTGCGTCTTGTTCAATCAGAAAGTCTGTAACAAGGTTACTTAATCTTTCCATCAAGAGCAACCATTTCCCAAAGATTTGGAAATGTGCTAAGATCATGGCCCTATTTAAATCAGGTGAACGTTCCAATCCTACAAACTATCGTATCTCGGTCTTGCCTACTCTTTGGGCCCACTTCTCTTTCTCGTGTACCTAAACGATCTGCCCAGTGTTATAAATAAATGCAATGTTGCCTTGTATGCCGACGACACAGTCTTATATTGCTACGCCTCGGATGTCAATGATCTTGAAAAAAATCTTAATGAAGATTTACTTAAGTTAGCGATTTGGTTAATTAATTTAATTAAATGAGAATAAGCTGACACTGAATTTAAATAAAACTCGATCAATGATAATAGGCAGTGATAGGAAGTTATGTAATATATCTTCGATATCTGTCTCTGTCAACAATACTGAAGTCTCCAACGCCAGCAATTTCAAGTACTTAGGAGTCACCATCACAGCCAACTTCACCTGGTCAGAACATATAGATCGCATTTCCGCTAAAGTCAATCAACGCCTAGGTCTACTTCGTAGGATTAAACACCTGCTACCATTTAATGCACGAATCCTTTTTTATAACAGTCTCGTACTCCCAATCTTTGACTATGCGGGTGTTATATGGGGAGACAAAGGTAATATAGTGTTAATGAACAATCTTCAGATACTCCAGAACAAAGCCGCCAAGATTGTTTTAGATAGACCATTTTTTTCATCGGTAACAGAAGCATTAGACAATTTAGGCTGGACCACTCTTGAACAACGCAGACTGTATCATAGATGTTTATTTATTTTTAAGTGTCTAAATAATCATACCTCACATAGATTTGAACTTCTAGCGAACAGAGAAATACACAACTACAATACGCGATATAAGGACAATTTAAGGCCACCTAAAGTGTCAAGGAATTGGGGAAAGCAAAGACTCGCTTATCAGCCCATAACAGACTGGAACAACTTGGACAGAAAGATAAAACTATCTACTAATATTTCTACATTTAAGAGAAACTTTTTTAGCAATCTTTGAACTTTCCCTCGTATAATTTTTTAATATTTTTCATAGTTATGTAGTATATGCATGTCTTCCTTCTAAAATAGTTTATTTAGTTCAGGACCTTTCCGAAAATCACTTTGTGAAAAGCACTCTGTGGAGTTAATTGGGTGTCCATTAGCAATAATGCAAAGCTCACTTCCCTCGTGCTTGTTTGAGCACTCTGGCCCCATGTCACTCTGCGCATGTCTAGATGCGTTGATGGTTCGTGTTGTACCACATACGCTTGGGAGAGCAAGTGCCATGTATATCAATACGAAGGTCATTCCGTGTCTAGATGTGTACCAAGCTGCACTGATGATGCACATGCATGTCTGCAGATTGTACTATCTATCTATCTATCTATATATATATATATATATATATATATATATATATATATATATATATATATATATATATATATATATATATATATATATATATATATATATATATATATATATATATATATGTATATGTACTAGAGTGCTCAACACCAATCCAATAAATCAGTAGAGCAAAAACAAAAACAACAAATTTCAATCTTGAAATTTTATTTTGTCGCTACACAGTGTTTCACGTACAGCGTACGATCATGAGGCGATTGATGTTCTTGGATCGATGTTAATCTCCAACAACATTTCGGGTTTTTTTTTGTTGTAATTAAAGAAACTGTACCTTGTATTACGACTTTAATAGTAACTATGCCGTTCATTACACTAACTATACGAGAAATACATGCATGCAACAACCCCTCGCCTATATTTTCCAAACATTGTCTCAACATGAAGTATTCGTAATTACGCCGACACTGAACGCAGGCTCGCGTTGTTCACGTCATGTTAGTCATGGCAACACGATAATTGTTTTTTTAATTTTTTGCAAGCCTATAATGAAACTTGAACACTTTTAAATACAGAACTATTAATTTCTAAAATACATAAAGTAGGTATATTATTTTCTTTTCTATGGGCTTTATTTTAATGTAAAATTCAAAACGAAGCTCTACGTATAACGTTTTTAAAGGACATTGGCAACCAAAATTTTTATTACTTATATCTATTAGGTATACTTACGGAATATTTAATTTCATATTTTGGCCGGTTTGTCGCGTTTAGTTGCTGAGAAAATTTGATTGAATTTGAGAAAATTTGAACAGTTGTCCGCCATTTTGAAAGTAAGCGCGTATGCGAATTTATGCCACAAAATACATTATCTGACGTCATTGGCTGGGTAAACACAATCTCATGACTATAAACAATACCGTGTATTACCACGCGTAGTGCATTTTGAGCCAAAACAAAAGACAGAAAAGTTTTACCAAGTATGTAACTTGTTTGTAACACTATTTCTCATAGTATATATCCTACTCCGTGTTAAATAAGCGCAGAAATTCGAGTGTAAAAAGGCAAATACTAATGCAATATTTTATGATCAATTACTTGCATTGTAAATTGCGCCATTTCTTGCTTTCCCAGTCGCTCGATATGTTTTTATCTGATAGTGTAGACTTCTCTTGTTTTATTGCGAAGAGTGTTGGCCAGTATAACGCTCAAAACGACATATTTTTAGCTAACATAACACGCACGCAATAGAATTCTCTCTTGTAGTTTTGGTGCTACCAATGACGTCACGAAGTTCATTGACCTTCGAGATAATTTTTCAAAAATATTTTCCAAGATGGCGGCGAAACTGGCCGAAACACAAAGTTTGCATGCATTTTACTCGTGGACTAAAATATTTAAGAAGGAAATGATAATATTTTCATAGTTCGGTTGTCAAGTAGGATTGAAATAGCCAATAAAAATTTTCGTTGCCAATGTCCTTTAAATGTGAATTGAAATTAACTGCTTTTTGCCGATATTAAACTCTTCAACATGTGCTTCAACTTATTACTTGCACTTTGAAATGAAATAAATTTAATTCGTACAGCACGCTTACGAAAATAATTTGCTTTCCTTTTTATCATGAACTTCTACAAATGTTAATTTAACTAAGAAGCTTTCGCATACAATGCATAGGAAAGACTTGAACAACAAGAACAAAGTCTATATTAATTTAATACAAAGTCATACATAAACAATTGAAACAAACTTGCCCTATACTTCAAGATTTCTCATACTAAATCAATTCTTATAATTGTTTACCATTAAAAATTGAAAAAAAGTTTTACGTGATTTATGTGAAACGATTTTCCAAGCTTTCTTACATGTATTTTTTATATTTTTGCCTTCTTCACTCCTGGCAAACAGCCATATTTTGAGATCAGTGAGATGACCATCCATACAACATGCGCCCGCGATCATTGATGAACTTTAGACTTCGCTAATGCTTTCCTTTCCCCGGGTGTAAATAGGCGGGCGGAATTAGTACCCTCGCCCCGGGCTTACGCCCGGAAATGCGCGCCACGCCGTTGGCTCGGGGATTATTGCTCAAAATCGGCATGGAATCCATCCAGCTCAGGTTGGATAAAACCTTCATATGGAAAGTTCTATTCCACTTGGCTCAGACCCCCACGCACGGAACACAAGGTTAGATCTCAAGTAGCCGTGCTGGCTCGTTTCTCATATGCAGACAAATTGAACAAAGGGCATGCATGGATCTCATCTAGCTGAGGTTCCCGGTTAGCTGGGTTCATACAGTGCCCTATAAGCCTAAAAGAGTAAAAGCTCGTATGTAGTTCAAGAAAAGGCCGTACCTTGGCTTTTTCACAACTAAATTTTGTTGTTGTTTGAGTCCGTTGATTCCCAGGATTTCACAGCACTCCTATATGGAATTGACACAGTGTTAAATTTTACAGTCTTTCGCCATCGTCAACGGGAGATGAGGAAGGGTGTTCAGATGATACAATCGACAGAAAGGTTGCAGCTCAAGAAAGACTGCAAGATGCTGTAGAAAATGTTAATATGAAAGACGTTTTAAATACGCCAAGGCAAATGGAAGAACTAGATGATAACGAACCATTGACTGACGATATAAAGATCCCATTTCTCTACAAGAAGAATGCAGGTAGTGTAATATTATTCTAAACATTAACACAATATCGGCAAATTCATTAGAAACATAACGAGTGTTTAATGACTGAATCTTAATTGAATTGGGCGCCCCGTTTGGGATAACCTCTGAGTTACACAATCCCACTCGACTGGGTTGTCTCTTTTGTCGTCATTGTATAATGACTAGCTTGGTATTATTTTTGTTGTTTTTCGGAAATATTTTACGTGCGCATACTTTGTCGTATGTATGTAATGCATTGTCAACAATTTCGAACATATACCATCTCGAACGGTCGATGTCATTTTCGGTAATGATGACAACGAGCAGCAGCAGTATATGTAGAAGATATAACTACCTGAAAACTGCCAATAGGACTTCGACGTTTTTAGCAAAGGCGTTCGTTGGGAAGTTCCTAGTCTAGTTTGGAGAACACGTGATACCAAACATATTCTCCGAATTGTTCAAAATATTCAATTTCATGTCACTTGCAAATTCATTCTCACTAAGGATGTTAAATCCTTGTACACTGAAATTCCGCATCATTATGGTTGAGGGGCCCCTAACCAACGCATGTGTTCACCCTCAACAATGGGTCCTAACCTTGCTATTTTTTTTTAGAAAGACTGAACTTCGACCAAGATACTGATCCCATACCTGATTACCTTGGTAGGTACATAGATGACTGCATTAGCACAGCATGCGCATAATGTTCTCGTGTCGAACTCGATCGCTTTATTAATATTTTTCATATTAACTTCCATTCAGCGCTCCAGTGCGGATATGAGACCAATGAGACGAGCCTATAATTTTTAGATTGACCCTATCATCTTTAGGTAGACGACTCTTGCAATTCATTGCAATAGTTACTTCCGTATTCAACAAGCCCACTGACTCCTATACAGCTATCTTTTATTTTATTCTTCCCACCCGAACCACACCGAAAGGTATATTCCCTTCCTTTGTCTTCGTCGCATTTGCAGTAAAGATGAGAACTTCCAAGTCTGAAAAACTACGCATCCATTTTTGAAGGCCTTCCAAATTTCTCGATCCCAAACTAGGGTTGGATGGCATGTACGTTTTCTTATGGTATGGGTCAACGTAAAACATGTGACTATTGAATTTTGCGGCAATATTATACCGACAAAATGTGCCTATATATATATATATATATATATATATATATATATATATATATATATATATATATATATATATATATATATATATATATATATATATATATATATATGTTGTGGTTTGTAGACTTCATCAACGTGTATTGAAAGCGGTGAAAAGGTACACTAGAGCTATGCAGAGTTAAGAGAGACTTCTTAGTTTAAAAACATTTAATTGCTACTCTGAGTTTCATGCTTCTACGATTGCTTAAATAGAAGCATGAAACTCAGAGTAGCAATTAAATGTTTTTAAACTAAGAAATCTCTTTTAACTCTACATATATATATATATATATATATATATATATATATATATATATATATATATATATATATATATATATATATATATATATATATATATATAT